TGATCCCAGGGTCCTGGGATTGAGCTCCAGATCGGGCTCCCTGCTCAGGGGAGAGCCTGCTTCTCCTGCTCCCTCGGCTGCTCCCCCTGCTCATGCGCATGCTCTCTCTGTCAAATAAATACATAAATAAAAATCTTAAAAAGAAAAAAAAAAGGAAAGCATCTTCCACCAGGTTAGACCTTGCGGGGGAGGAAGGGATGGGTTTGTGTCTGGGTACAACCCTCCACAAGGGTACTGACTGACAGAAGTTAAGCAGAACAGTGAGAAGCCAGTGACCACAAGAGGGAAATGGAACGTCAAGACTGAAGAAATAAACATTCAAGAGGAATGAAAGCTGGCTCCAAATATTAAAACACAGGCTGCGGGGCCCCATCCCCAGAGGTTCTGATTCAGCAGATGTGAGTGGTCTTGGAATTTCCATTTCTAAGTTCCTAGGGGATGTTGATATGGCTGGTCCAGGGACCATACTCTGAGAACAAGTGCCCCAACCAAAAACAATTGTAATTCAGAAAAAAATATGTATGTATTTCTGAGATTTTCCTAAGATACCATGACCAGTTCCCAGTAAGCCCAAATTAAGGAGAATTTACTGGTTTTAAAAGCCCACACAGGGGCGCCTGGGTGGCTCAGTCGTTAAGCGTCTGCCTTCGGCTCAGGTCATGATCCCAGGGTCCTGGGATCGAGCCCCGCATCGGGCTCCCTGCTCGGCAGGAAGCCTGCTTCTCCCTCTCCCACTCCCCCTGCTTGTGTTCCCTCTCTCGCTGTGTCTCTCTATGTCAAATAAATAAAATCTTAAAAAAAAAAAAAGCCCACACATTTATTTTGAAGATTATGCTCTTTTTAAAATTTTATGTTGCTAAACACAAGTTCCGCCTTTACTTCTGACCCTTAGCATTTCTTATGAGTTCAGCTTCACAAAATTTTGTTTCTGCGCTGCTTCATTTTCTGACATTTTATACGGCAGACAGTCTCCCTCTGGTCTTCTTCCATGCCTCCTGTACTGGAGTATTACATTCAGCAAGTCAAGCTTCATTACATATTAAAATGTGACCTGTTTTTATCAAGTGGTTTCTGGCTTCCCACATCTTCTAAAATAGGAAATATTGATCCAGTCCTTTCCCCCAAGAGCCCACACTGAACCCATCGTGCCCAGGGGCCCTTTAGGTCTCAAACCAGCTGCATTCAATTCCTGATTAATTTTATTTGATCTTATATACTTGTAGCTTTAGCCTTTCGATCCCAATAGGAAAATTACCAGCATATGGAATGCATATAAAATGACATGCAAAGCAATGCAAATTAATACAAACCATACACCTCTAAATTGCTTGGGAAAAGTCTCCAAGCTTTGACATTGATATTATCTGCTTTGCCTCTCTACAGTCTGGTGAGCAGTGACCAGATTCTTTTATTAGCATTTATTTTTGATGGCCCCCAGCACCGGACACTTGGTAGCATGCTACATGGAAGAGGTGCCTCTGCCTGTGAGTCAGGCAAATGGAGTCCAAGACTTAACTTCGCCGCCATTTGGTTCTATGGCCTTGTACAAGTTCTCGCAATTCCCTGGTTCTCAGATCCTACATCTGGAAATGATGGAAGTGACATCATCGTAATAGAAACCACCAGCACTTGGGCTTACTGAGCACCCACCAGAGGCTGGCACATTGCACGCCCATACTTGTGCACACACGCGCATAGCATTTACACATTGCGCATGCACGATGCACACATGCTGTCCTCCCAACAGTCGTGGACAGGGTACCATAAAGATGCACCGCACAGGTGTGGCGCCACTTCGGGGATCAGGAAGCTCGGACAAGGCCACAAGCGGGGCAGTGGCATGGCCAGAAGCCAGGCCTCCGCAGTCTGGCTCCAGGGCCCCTCAGCCATGCTGCAGCTTTGTGGCATGATTCCCACCCATGTCTTCCCAAACGCAAAGTTTGCCTAACCTACAAAGTAAAAATTCAAATTCCACGGTCATATATGCTTCAAAATATTGTTTCTGTAAGATGGTGATAGTTAGTTATGTGAGTTTGATATCCCAATCCAGCACAATCAGGCTGTTTTTACCTAAAAGGACTCCCGATATCCTTTCCTGCCCACTCGCTCCATCCCATTCACATATATATTATGTGCAAGGCTCTCTCATCTTAAAAAAGCCTTCCCGCTGTCCTGCCTCTCCCTTGAGGAGTGGCTTCGGGGAGCTAAGTGTGGAGGCTGCCACCGGTCCTGGGCCCACACCGTGCCCCACTCCACGTAGGATGCTGGCTCCCACATGGGCTTTGGTTGACACTCTCACCCCTCCCCACGAAGGCAGGGGCTCTGTGACAGGCCCGCACCCCTGTCCCATCCACCCTAGGCTTTAAATAGTGCCCCAACACAGATGGCCCCCACTTGTCTGGAGCATCAGCCGGGGTCTGGAAAGCAGCTCAGACTCAACCAACCAAATCTATCTTTCCTCCAAAATCTGCCCCTCGTCTAATGTTCTCTTTTTTGTAAATGGCAGCAACATCTGCCCAAACCTGGAGGGACTCGCCCTGCCCTCTGCTACACAGAAGTAGCCACCAAGTCACTCCAGAGTTGGCCTTGAATCTTAGCACTTGTGTAACCGGCTCAGCCTAGACCACCGGCTACCACCGGCTCAGCCTAGACCACCAGGCCTCTCACACCCTTGGAACAGTCCTGTTCACCTTCCGGGCACCTCAGATCCATTCTCACACAGCAACCTCAGTGTTTTGAATGGAAATCTCAGCAGGGTATCTCAGGCGTGAAACTGTCCAGAGGATGAATTCCACAAAATGGCCCCAAGATGTGGTCTCATCTCATCTCACCTGTGCTACTCTCCCTTCATGTCAGACTGGACCTCTCCATTCCATGAACTCTCTGCTAGCCCTCTTCTGTCTTAGGGCACACAGTTCCCTGGGGGGAGAAAACTCCTTTTCTCCTTCTCCTCCCCGCACTTAGTGTAAGCCCTCCTACTCATCCTTCAGGCCCACCTTAAATCTCCCCAAGAAGGCCTCCTGCCTCTACCCCAGACTCAGCACACCTGTGCTCCCACAGCACCCAGCACTGGCCTGACCCACAGTAAGCTTAGCTCAACAAATTTGGACTCATGAATTGACTTTTCAGCCCTGCATCACATAATCTATCTTGCTGTTTTCTTCCTGCCTCCCAGCCAAGGAGGAAACTCTTTGAAGTAGACACAGTTACACTTCTGGTAGGGGTGCTAAGATACACCCCAGGTCACCATCTCATACTCCCCAAACTAGCTCCAGGAGTCACTGATTCTCACAGGAGAGAGCAGAAGCTGGGCACCGTCATATATACTCTACTTGCCCACCTCCCCGTCCCCCATGATCTGAGTTCATTCCAAGTCAGACTGATAACTATTTACTGTCTGCCTGTCTTGAGGGTACTTATTTAGCATTATGCCATCAAGTATCAACTTTGACTTACTCCCGAATTATGCTATTCACCCCTACCTACCTCTGGTGATTATTGTGGCATTTAGCAAATTACTGTAAACATGGGAATGAGTACAAGTAATAAACAGGAGAGAATCACCCCCCCCCATTCCCCTATCAGTTTTCCAAATTCAGTACCATACAACCAAATTCTTTGGCTACTGTTTCTATGCCAATAAAGAAGATAATTGAACAGCATCTTAATTGGTCATTTCTCAGACAGTATTGGATCCTTAGAAAGTGCAACATAGGAAATGTTCTCTGCAATAATTCATTTATTTTTTAAAGATTTTACTTCCTCAAGACACTGTCAACAGCTTCTGTTGACAGTGTCTTGAGGAATGGAAGATCAAAAAGGGTGACTTCTATGCCTACCAAACCGCATGGATACTTAATATTATTCCTAATTCCCTTAATATTCCGGTTCAATTTTACGGATAAGAGGAAAGAACAAGGGCCTAAGGGCTAACACCACCTCTTCGCATACCCAGTAAGGGGGCAAAACACAAGTTTCCCAGGCTACAACGACCCAGAAAACCGCCCCCCAAGACAGAGCACTTAGTTCTAAAATTTACCAAGCAATACCAGCTCACTCGCACTGTTAGCCTAAGTAAAGATGATAAACTGACTTGAGAGTCCAGATCTCTTGGCTCGGATCCTCGGAGGTTTCCAGCCAGCCGGAGAGGCGCTGCCACCTCGCCAGGGGGACGTCCCGGTCAGCTCTGCGGCATGGAAACTTGACCTTAAAAAGCGCAGAAGCTTGTCCCTGGGAAGGCACCGCCGGGAGGTCTGTCCCACAGCTTCCGATCAACAAACTGGTAAGACCCCCTCCCCCCAAGCACCTAGTTCTAATGGAGAGGCCACTGGCGCAGCCCATTCCCGAGCGCCTCATCCCTCTCCCGCCCACTCGCCTCCCGCCCACCAGGGGCGAGGACGCCCACGGCCCGGGTCTCGGGCAGCGTCGCTGGGCCCGGGGCTGGGGCCAGGCTGGCGGGCTAGTCGGGAAAAGCGGGCGTCGCGACCTGCCCCTCGGCGCCCCTCACCTGAGCAGGTCTCTCTGGCCCTCGGGCCGGGAGGACTTAGACTGCCGGACCCCCGCCTCGGGAAAGGGCTCGTGCCCGGAGAGTCTGGGGAAACCCTGGTGCGCACACGCCGCGCGACTCCCGGCCGCCGCGCCGGTTCCCGAAGTTGCCGCGTCCGCTTGGCGCGCGGCGGGGTCGCCCACAGTAGCCCTCGGCTCCACCTGGGTGCCGGCGCCCTTCCTCCCCGCGCCCGGAGGCGCGCAGCCAGGCGGGGGCTCAGCCCGGGATCCCGATGCGGCACCCCGCGGCCGACGCCCCAGCCCTCCCTCACCCTCGAGAGCAGCGCGGCGCCCAAGTTTTCCCCAGCGGGAAAGTGAAAGTCTCGAGGAGGAGAGGGTCCGGGCGTCCGGGTACCCCGCGGCTGGGATCGGAGCCCCGCACCCGCCACCGCGGGACAGCTCTGCACCCCGGCCCCGGACGTTCCTCACTGGCCTGCGTGGCCAAGTCGACTTACGAAAGGGAGCAGGGGAGCCCCGAACGCGGGGTCCCCGCGGCTGCAGAGGCCACCCGGGCGGGGGCCGTGAGCTGCGCTCCGGGATCCCGGCCCCTCTGCTGCTGCCGCGGCGGCGGCGGCGGCGGCGGCTCGCTCCCGCCTCCTCCCCTTTCGCCAACTCGGCGGCGCGCCCTGCTAGGGACTTGCTCTCCCTCGGCCGGGGGTGGGAGAGCGCCGAGCGGCCCCCATGACGTGGAGAAAGGAGGAGCGCCGTCGCCGCGCTCCCGCAGCCGGAGCTCCCCCCCCCCCCCGCACTCCGGGGTTCCCGCTCCACGTTTGGGACAAAGTTCTGAGGCGCGCGCGGTGCGCTACACTCCCGTCCAGCCGCGCGGCTCCCCGCCGCTGCCCTGAGTGTCACCCAGGTTCGGTTTCCTCCCCGCGGGAAACAGACAAGGTCCGAGGTCTGGAGACCTAAGAGACTGGCCCAAAGTCGCTCAGAGGGCGGTGACAAAGCAAACTTACATCTGCGACTCCTTGCTTTTCCCCAAGGCTGTGCTCTGTGAAGCGCTGGCCCTGCACCAATCGCCCGGCTCTCATTGGTGAGCCGAGGACAGTGTCCCACGCAGCTTGGCGAAATATCTAGGAACAGCGTGGGAAGGTGGAGGTTTATGGCCAATAAATTGGGTACAAAGTTGTTTTTCAATCAGTGCCTACATGCCAAATAGACACTCTAGGGCTTCCTTTTTACCCTAAAGCGGGGGTGAGGGCGGCAGCCTTGAGGGCGCAGGATCCGGTACCAACCCTGCTCACCGAATAACTGAATGAAAGCAAGCACAGACCTACTTAGCCAATTGGGCAGTATCTACGACTTGAAATATACCAATTTTGTGATGTGGACGTGATGCAGGCAGACTAGTCTGAGGACCCAGAATGGGGGTCCCACAGGATCAGCCAAGAAGGTTCTTCAGGCAAGATGGAAATCAAATGTTTACCAGGAGGAAGTGAAAACAGAGTTTATTGAATAGCGCGAGTGACAGAGAATAACAGAGAGAGTGTGAGTGGGAGATTCCAAAAGGGGAATGAATCTAGTGGTTGCTTGGGGTTAGGGATTTCTATTGGAAAGGGGTGCAGGGTACCTGTTCCTTCGGTAATCCAGGGTATGGTCCAATCGAAGGTGAGTGACAGGTGATTAATAGGTGTTATTTTATAAGTCATTGAAAGTAGGGGGTGGTGATGCCCGGGTCAGCCCAGGTTTGTTCAAAGCTAAAGCTTTTGGGATCTGGCTAGATGTTGTCAGGTGTTTGAGGGCCCAGTGCAAAACTCAGAGAATGATTAACTTTCTTGTTTCCCCCTTGGAGTGGGAACATAACTTCTCTGGTTTATTCAGATGCAAAAAATAAACATGAGTAAATGGGACCTAGCAGAAAAACAGCAGAGATGGAGCCCTTCTAAAAATGGAGTCTCTTCGGTTTTCCTGTTTCAGATGCTTTACCTGTGCTGGCAATTGCCGTACTTCCAGAAGTCTCCTGCCCTGCTCCTGTTCCTTTCAGGGCCAGAGGATCCTAGGCCCTGCCTTATAGAATAGTAGGGGCACGAGGCAAGTCAATCACAGCTAGTTTGTTCCTTCCTTCCTCTGTCAGTCTATGTTGACTAAGGGCCTGCTGTATGCCTGGCTGGTTGGTGGGGAGTCAGATAGGACCAGGCCCTGCCACCCCATGAATCCCAAATAGGGAGCACAGCATAGGACACCATATCCTTTACTCAAAGTATCCAGAGTCTGTCCACAGTAGTAGAAACGCTGAGACTACTCTGCCTTTTAAAAAATTCTCTGTGCCAGGGGAGCAAGTATTTTCAAGCAGACATTTTCAAGTAAATGGCCAGCTTTGCACTTACCTCCCTTTCCTGCAAGAGTCACTAAAGATCAGGTGATTCACCCTTCTGGTCTCCCTCATCTGCACAGGATGATGATGATGACAATAAAAGCAAGTGAGGCTTTTATCATCTATCTTGGGTGACATGCTAAGCAATTTATGTGGACTCTTTCAGTCCTCACAGAGTTAGGAGGGAGGTACCATTTCTCTTTCTCTTCTTTCTCTTCATTTTATAAATGAGGAGAGGAAGCAAGTAAAGCATAGTAATTTGCCAGTAAATGGAATAACCAGAACTCAGTCCGAGGTGCTCTCTCCCAAGTATCCATGCTGTGAACAACGGAGGGGGACGGAGGCCTCCAGCCTGGAAGTCAAGTGGTCCACCAGCCTACATCAGCCCCAGCTCACACCACGGGAGCTTCCAATGATCTCAAGCAAGGGGTGCTGTGCAATCCACACATAGGTTGATTCTATTATTTTGAATATATCCTATCATAAGTAGTTATCTCTTCATTCACCTGCTCCCCTGTCTCCAACTCCCAGATCAACCTTTTTGTCATAAAGCAAACTGTTTCTAATGAAGGGACCTTGAAAACGCCTTTAACATCAAGTTTGTAAACATTGTTTTGGATTGTTCTGTATTCAGACCATACCAGGTCTTTCCCCACCCTCTGCATTCACTGCCTTCAATGACTCCCTTCCCTTAAAACAGTGCCTCAGGTCTTTCGAAAGCCAACTGTCCAAGGCTGGATGGTGGCCCCAGAAGGCCTCTCCTACACTCTATAGCATGCTCAGCATTCCTGGATTAGTTTCCCAGGGCCGCTGTAACAAATGACCACAAACTGGGTGACTTAAAACAGCAGAAATGTATTCTTTCACAATTCTGGAACTAGAAGCCTGAGATTAAGGTGTTGGCAGGGCTGTGCTCCCTCTGAAAGCTCGAGGGAAGAATCCTTCTCTGCTGCTTCCTAGCTTCAGGTGGTTGCTGGCACTCCTTGGCATTCCTTGGCCTGCAGAGGCATCACTCCAGCCTCTGCGTCCTTCACTGTATTAGCCTTCTTTTTTTGGGTCTTTTCTGTGTCCAGATTTCTCTCTTCTTTAAGGATACCAGACATTGGATTTAGGGCCATCTTAATCTAGTAATGACCTCATCTTAACTCCATTACATCTGCAAAGACTCTATTTCCAAATAAGGTCATGTTCACAGCTTCTGGGTGGACATGAATTTTGGGATGCTGTTCAACCCAGTACCATCCCTAAAAGTCATTGTTAATGAAAATGTTTGCTTGAGCTAAGGATGCAAACAGATATAAATCACAGGCCCTACCCTCAAGTAAGACACTGTACTTACAGACATACTCTCTATACCCAGAACATAGTTAACCAGCAAGACAGGAGATGCTAAGAGCCAACTGACTGGGGCCAAATGACAATCCATGGGCCAAATGACAGCCATGCCCAGGAATTGAACCAAGGGAACACAGTCACTGAGAACACCACTAAAGGACTTTACTCCAAGAAGAGGGTAATCTAAGCACGTCCTTGAAGGAAAGCAAAGATAAATCAGGAGGGCTTATCAAAAGCACAGCCCTTAAGGGGGTATGTGTGCCGGGCAGAATCTTACTTCTGAAATTTCATTGCAGACATGAGAGACTGAATGGTTGTGAACACCTACCATACGGAGTATAAGAACATGGTGAATTACTTTGGCTATAATAATAGTATGTTGTAATGCCATAGCAATGAGCATGCTTTAAAGTGCTCTTTCCTTTCATTAATTTCATTTGGTCTTTATGACAATCCTGAGTGTCATCAGAGAAAAGGACATCATATCTTACAACTAAGGGTTCTGGGGCTCAGCGGGGGCAAGTAATTTGCCCAAGTCAAAGAGCAAATCAGTTGTAGAATTGGTATGAAACACAATGGCCTCAATAGTCCTTGTTCAGGAATTTCCTTACCGAATGATGTTTCCCCCTGGGTGAGCCTTCCAGTACTGGTGTGTTGTTCTTGGCCCAAGGAAAGCATTTGAAGAACACGGTAATCCTGCAAGAAATGAAAAGCCTTCTTCAAAGCCATGTGAATTCCAAATTGGAATTGTGATAAACCTTCCCCAGACATCTGAATTGGTTTCACTAAAACTTCTGAGGATTTTTCTCTGTATTAAAGAATCTCTTTTGGCCTCCAGAGACATAATAGGATACAATGGCCTTCTGAAAAACTCAGCTGATTATCTTATGAAAATAGGGGTTGAATGCAACTTGAAGGCACACAGAGACATCAGTGAGAAGTTGATTACAAAAGACCATAAATTATATCACAAAATGATAAGCTGGCAAAAACTGATAATCACAACTCAGTGTCTGATCTCATCAGTGCGGAGTCATGCACAGAGGACCAGTTCTTGGCATGTTTTAAAGACTTTCTAATAAGAATCTGTAACTGTGGCTAGCAGCTGGAAGCAAGCAGAAAGTCTAGCCTTGAGCTATCTGATGATTGAATGTGTTTTCCTGGATTTTCTTTTACTTAGTAAGCAGGTAACTTACTGCAACCTCTGCTGGTTGTCTTTAAACATATATTTAAGGATGAAATGCTTTTGAGTCTAGTGTGATTCACAGAGTTCTTGCTTGTGCAAAGTGCTACACTGGTTGCTATAGGAGAATACAAAAATATAAAAGTTCCTGACCTTGAAGAAATCCCATCTAATTCAGAAGATTAAAAATGGTGTAAGTGGGGCTGCAATGGAATTCTTTAGTGATTTATCACTCAGTTGTCTGTTCAGATGCAACTTCTCAAAACCAGGCCTTCACTTGCCACCTTTTTTAAAATAATGGCCTGCTATACCTTCATATCACCTTCTAGCCCTTTATCTTGCTCCAGGGCCTTTATGACATTGATCATTATCTGAAATGAAGTTGTTTGCTTGTTTACTCTGCTCCTAGACATAGTATCCACAAGGACATGGAATTGTCTTGTTTTTTGCTGTATTCCTAGCAACTAAAACAATGTTGGGCATATATTAGGTGCTCATTAAATATTTTTCAAACAAATAAAGTACATATTAATTAACTGAAAATGGACCAAGATAACTTGAATTAATGTATGTTTCTCATATTTGCCTGATAAGACTTCTATGGACATTTTGATTCAGGAAGCCTGGAGTGGGGCCCAGGAATCTGTATTCTTAAGAAACATCCCAACTGATTGTTTTAAAGAGGTAGTTGGGGAAACACGGGATTAATGCAATGATTGATGGTGGTTGGGAGAAAAAAGTGAAGTGACAAGACCAGTTTCCAGAGATCAGTGGCTGCTCACTGGAATCATCTGGGAGAGATGAAAAAAATCCTGGCAGCATAGACAATATTCCAGATCAAGGAAATTAGAATCTCTGGGGGTGGGGCCTGGATTTGGGCCAGGTCTTAACATTTACCGGGTGATTCTAATGTATAGCCAAGGCTGAAAAGCCCCTGGGATCTGCAGAAATATTTTATAAGTACTCCAAGTATACTACTAGGTTATGCTCTTGTTGCTTCCAGCTTCTTATGTCCCACAGCTGGAATCCTTGATCTCCTAGTCTAGAAGAAACATGTGCAGAAACTTACACAATAACCCCATTTGGGGAGAACTATAGTAACTTTTTGCTGTTGTTAAAAAAAAATGTTATTTAAAGCAACAACTGAATATAACCTCTTGTACTTCATGGCCAGAGCTGAAAACACCTACAATATATTGAAGGTGAGAAAGCCAAGGCCCCCTGGGCAGAGCCTAGGTAGTTAATAGAGAGCAAAAACACTATGCTTATAACAAAACGGGAGAATGCATAGGAGAATCCCGTTTCTCTTGAATGCCTAGAGAAAGATGACAGGTGGCCCAGGAAAGAGGGAGAAGGAGAAGATATGGAAAGAGTCTAGAGCAGTGGTTCTCAGTCCGACTGCATATTAAAGTCGCGTGGGGAGCTTAAGAACTTACTGATCCCCAGACTTGTTCTCAAAGATTCTATTGTAATAAGTATAGCGGTGTAGTGTGTGTGTGTGTGTGTGTGTGTGTGTGTGTGTGTGTGTGTGTGTGTGTG